GCTGAATGTATTTTTGGCCATTGCTGTGGACAACCTTGCTGATGCTGAGAGTTTAACGTCTGCACAGAAAGAGGAGGAAGAGGAAAAAGAAAGGAAAAAGCTGGCTAGGTAAATCCATACACCTATCTACACTCATATGCATGCATTCCTGTGAGTATAATCACTCACATTATGCACATACATATGTGCAAGTATGTGTGTATATGTAATATATATGTATAACTTCTCTGTGTGTATATCTTATATATATGTGATTAATGTAATTATATATGGAATTATGTATATACAAATTTTTAGGTAAAAGAATTCACACTAAAGGACAAAAAGGTGTTATGAGCTGGGAGTCCCCACAGTTGCAATGATGTGAGCAGAGGAAAGGGAAGTCTGGGTGACTGATGAGCTTCCAGGGCATCAGCAGAGAATGAGTGTGAAATGGTGTCAATGTTACAATCCCATTTGAATCTCCCTATCACCTTCTGATTGCTTTGTACCACAAGGCGTATTTTCAGACTGTTGTTCCTATGACAAGATTCAGCAACTTCCTTCTCTTTTGGTGCCACATGCTGTTCTTCTCTTGCTAGGTTCTTCTAGCATTTCTGCAGGCTCTTAGGAGTCATGAGCTGGATGTAGAGCTTCTCTGTCGTTTGCAGCTGCCAACAGCGGGGAAGCCTCTACTTACTGGTTATTTCTATTCACTGTCTTCCAGGCTGCTTGGAGATCTCTTGAGCAGAACTTTCTGCTTCATCCTGCATGCTAGTCAGCAGGTTTCCCTGGCTCTGGGAGTGCAGTGAGGGGTGAAACTTTGTAGGCAACCTGGTGGAAGTTCACAAGACATGGGTTGAAAATGGCTCATGCCTTTGTCATTGGATGAACAAAGAGATCTCTACTGACAGACCTAGAATATGCATGTGCACAAACACACAGGCACATACTTCCCCCACATGCGCATGCACACCCACCCACACACATACAAGCACATGCCATTGAGAAAGCTATAAAATAAAAGGATGCTATATAGAATTAGAGCAGAGTCTCTGCCTTTGCCTGCAGATGAGGACAAGGTGGAGCCGCTGCTATGTAAGCTGGACTCAGAATGGAGGTGCCAGCCAGCTGATCATTCTCATGGTGTATGCTGTACTACATGAAGTTCTTGAAAGGGAAACAGCTTCTCACCTTTGTAACTCTTTGCTTTTTATCTTGTAAAATTGTTAGGACTGCTAGTCCTGAAAAGAAACAGGAGATAGAAAAAACAGCTGTGGAGGAGGAGACAAAGGAGGAGAAAATTGAGCTGAAATCGATCACTGCTGATGGAGAATCCCCGCCTGCTACCAAGGTAAGGTCTGCTGCCAGCCAGCACTCTCTGTGCAGTGATGACATGAGCTGCTTGGGTTTCTGAGGGAATAAAAACCATCTGCCTTGTCTGATAAAGTCTTTGCTCCTTCTCCTTCCATTTCTGTCAGATCAATGTGGATGATTATCAGCCCAATGAAAACGAAGAGAAGAGCCCATATCCCACAACAGAAGTACCAGGTATATATCTTCTTCCTCTTATCCCTGATTAGAAAAAGAGAAGCTCCAGTTGCTAATGCACATAAAGCCAAATTGTGGTGACAGGTATGCTGAACATGTAATCCTTTCATGATGGGACAGGATGACGTGCTTGCCTGTGTTTGCACAGGTGTGGACTTGGTCCTTTGCAATTCCTATGCTGATTAGTCGTATTTGATTTGGTTCTCTATAAATCTCTGAATCTGGAAATACAGAGCTTTACAGAGAACCAATTCAAATCATATATGCTGTATATGAAAATATACATATGACTTTGTTTTCAGTCTATTTTTTCAGTACTCAGTGGTCAGGGGAGACTCGCAACAGATACTAATGAAAGGCAAAGTGCTGAATGCCTTTTTGCACTTTTTTCTAATCAAAAAAGACAGTGTGACTTATTAACATAATTCTAAAGGCATAAGATCTCAGCCTAGAAATGGAAAAAACAAGCTAGACCGTTAGGCTAGTTTTCAAGTCAGTTGGATGTAATTAACCTCATCCTCAGATACTTAAAAGATTGGTTGAAGAAATCTCAGAACTTTTGAGCAGTTTTTCTTCAAGAGATCCTGAACGGGGGGTGGGGTTGGAGCAAAAGAATTACAAGCTAGTCAGTTCAACTTCCATTCTTGGAAAAGTGCTGGAACAAATGATTAAACAAATTATATGACTGCAAGATAAGGAGATGACTAGCAGCCAACATAGATTTGCCAAGAACAAATCACGTCAAACCACTCTTATTTTCTTCTAAAAGGGGCTGACAAGACTTGTAGACAGGAGAAAAGAAGTATATGTCATATTCTTTAGCATTGCTAAGGCTTCTGACTGTTTCTTAAAACATTCTTATAAGCTAGCTAGAAAAACATGGTCTAGATGATTGAGAGAGAAATTGGTCAGACCCTTTATGTGGAGAGTAGTGATGGCCCAAGTGAGGTTCTACTACCCAAGGGCCCGTCCTGAGTTCAGTTCAGTTCATTGTTAATGACCTGAATGATGGAAGAGGAAATACACTTATTACATTTGCAGATAACATGAAGCTAGGAAGGACAGGAAGCATGCTGGAGGGCACCATTAGAATTCAAAGAGCTTATGAGGAACTGGATAAATGGTCTAAATAAAATTGAAAGTGCCAGGCCTGACACACAGACAGGAATAAATAACTCACAAATAAAGGATCTTAGGTGATAGCCAGCTAGGTATCAGCCCTTGAGAAAAGAATCTGAATCTTGTGATCACAAGCTCAACAGGTACCAACAACATTTTGCTGTCTTTCAAAAGGCAAGCAAGTAGTAAGGTTTCTAAACAGTGAAAACATGACCCTTTAGTCAAGTTATGGGTTTCTTCTAACTGGCTAGTGAAAGCTAACCAGAGAAAGGAATTGTTTTATTCTGTTCAGCATTTATAAGATCTCAGCTGGGATATTGTATCTCATTTTGGGTGCTCTGCTTAGAAGTGGGGCTGAATTGGAAGGAGTGTAGAAGAGCATGGTGAAAAGCAATGCTAGTAGGAAGCAAGAAAGAGTTGTGGTCGTTTGAGCTAGGAAAAGCGGGAGAAACATCTTTAAAGGCATCAAACCCTGTTAGAGGTAGGAGGGGAATTATCTCCATTATGAAGAAGATTTAAGATTCACACCAGGGAAGAATTTTCTAATGTTGAGGCTAGAAAAGATCATGAAGATGGTTGTGGAAGCCCAGCATCACTGACTGTTGTTAAGAACAGGCTAGAAGAATATCTGCCAGAAAAGGCTTAGATATAATAATTAGTTGATCCTGGCTTAGCAGAGGCATGAAGCAGAGGGCCTTTTGTGATCCTTTCCTGCTCTGCTCTTTGGCGTTTCTATGATTATATAACAGGCTGTAATAGGTAATAAAACACATTCTCTTCTATTCCATGATTCTTAATAAATAAATGTCTGATAATAGGTTGATGTGATAGAGTAAAAAAAGACACAATAATTAATTTTAAATAGATGGACAAGGGTTTCAGACAAGCAAAAAGGAAAACTGTTCATTGCATGAGATTTTCAGTACAAAAAATCCCTACATTTGCTATTCTTATACTCATTCATATTTGTAGCCCATTTATCAGGAATAGAGTGTTGTTCCAACATCACGCAATACTGTTTTAACATTGCCTGGGGCAGATCACTCTGGCTTTAATCTTCCCAGCACCTCTATAGGCACAGGCACTTACTGGACACACATCCCAAGTTGCTAAGGAGTTTGTGGAAGTCTTTAGTCAGAAGCACAAATTAAAACAGTTTGATACAGTTCTGTTTCTCAACTGGCTTGGATTTGCAGACCATTACGTTTTTTTCAAGTGAAGGTACAGTCACCTGTATATCAAATTTAAGCCTACTGATAATAGAATTGTGTTTTAGTTACCTTCTGTGGATAGCTTAGAAATAGTCTGGCTTGTGAACTATATGACAAAAACTACCTCTACAATTTGTTGAACATTTTATCTGCAGCTGTGCATAGGATTAGAGTGCAGAAAATGAAGTAAAACCACTTTTAACTCCTGCCTTGGGGTGCCAGTCCCTGGCTTGGCATATTTTTGAACAGAACCTAAAATTTGAATGGATGGTCAGGTTTTCTCCAGTCTCCTATTAGAAATGAAAAGGAACAGCATCTTGGTTATTTGCTATTGTATGATGCTATTTCTAAAGAGGCCTCTTCCCTGAATTGTTTATCAATTCTTTGTGAAGAGTGAAGTTGATCTCTAACAGCTCACAAAATTACCTGACCATTTCTTTCAGAGTTCATGGAAGTGAACCATAAGGCTCAGATGCAGTAAACTTTTGTAAATCCCTTTTTAGATCAGATTTACCATAGTCATCTATTCCATCCTGCTGTTAAAGCTCAGAAACACAAAGGCCCTCTCAGAGCTGATGTGGCATGTCACATCCGCCTTGTGTCATCAGTTTTGGGGAACAAAGCTCCAAGGCTTTCCCCAGCACTAACAAGCAAGAATTTCCCAATCCCTACATGTACCCCTGTCCAGTTCCCTTTTGGCCATCTGACCAGTCCAGAATCCTTCTGCTGATTGCTGATCGGTACAGCTGTGGTACAGGAGATCCTGTGCAGCCTTATGCAGCCCATCTGGGAACACACCTTTTCTTGCCCACTTGCATGTGAATCCATTTCAGCTGTGCTTTGAGCAAAGCATCCTATTGCCTCTTAGATGCAGTCAGCTGGTTCTACCTATTTTCTGTTTATGATTTAAGCTGTTAATGCCTGTGACCTTTCCATGGCTGTGTACCGTTCCATCCTCTGAAAGCATCCTTCACCCTACCCCCATATTCAGAAACAATTTGAAATGGTCACCTCATTCGTTTTCCCTTTATTCTTTCAACCTACCTCTATCACTTTCCTATTTGTTTCTACTGCCTAAACTAATTTTCTCAATAACCTCTTCTGACTCTATTTGCTACACAGTGTTGCTCTTAGCCCCCAGAATACTCAGTGTACTTGCAGCTCATCAGATCACCTATCCTCTTTGTTGGAAGGAGAGGCTAGTTCTTCCAGAGATTTGTGTACACTAGAAGGATTATTATGATGATATGTTTATTATAGGAAGACAGGGTGCTAGTCTTGCAGTCTAGTACAGAAACAGACAAAGAATTCACAATGTCAGATGAAGGTAAAAGCTTGGGATGATTCATGGGAGCTTGAAGAAAAGCAATGTCCTTACACAAGAGTTCTGGTCTTTGTACAGTAAAGAAAAAATAAAATCCTCATCATCAGATTTCTCACTCATGCTGCAACATAGCCTGTGTGTGCTTATGGCTTCACAACCAAAGGACGTCACCATTTTAATGAAGCATAATTCAATATGACAGTCCCAGATTTGAATTTCCTTGAACTTTAGGAGAGTTCAAACCTAGATTTGAACTTGGGGGCTCTGAGTCATGTTTCTTTATGATTTTGTGGCAAGCTTGACTAGAAGGGTCACTTTTAAACACAAATATACCTTAGGTACAGAAAACAGTCAAAGAACAAGTGTTGGATTGTAGCCGATGTGCTGCCCAGCCCATCTGTGAATATTATGTTGACCTTTGCTTCTACAAATGCTGGCAACTGTGCAATGTACTGGTTCTATATGCAGGTAGATAGCTTAGTTAGTGACCTGAGCTGAGGCTGTAATCAGGTTATTCTTTGCATATTTGAGCCTCAGTGTTTCCTTTCTTCTGTGCCCTAGACCCTACTTTAAATGAAAAATATTTAGAACATTATTCTTTATCTATGGCTGAGGAACTGAACGTGTTTTCCAGTCTGAAGGTATGTGGTTGCCAGAATCATTAATATATTTCTTGCTGTATGGTAGACACAAGAACCAGAGAGGAACAGTGTTCTTTATGGTTTTCATGGGGCTGATCCTTCTGCTAAGAGTCCATTTTCCTAGAGCAATGTTCCATACCCATTTAAAAGTGGTTTTTTAAGCATTCCTCTCAGTAAAAGAAAAAGAATGATCTAATAGCGAAGGCACAGAACTGGGACTTGGAATACTAGTCTTTTCAGTACGAGTCTCAAATATCCCACATGATGATGGGCGTCAGTATTCTGGACTGTTAAAGAAGAAGAATTTGCTTACCTTGCTCATTGTCAGCCCCCTCTGAAACATGTAGATTAAAGGTGCAAGTGCAAAGTATTGTAATATTATATAAATATGAGCATTAACATTAAGACAAATTTTACAAGCACAATGAACCAAAGTACTTCTGAAAGAATGTTTCTTTAACTAATAAAGCCTGGAGAAAGAGTATTATAAAATATATTACAATATAAAATCGAGCTGTTAAAAAATAGACTGGCTTAAAAAGTACAAACTCTATGTACCAGCTCAAACATTTATGCAAAAATCTATCAAGTGAATTTGAGCTGAACTCTTGCTACTGGAAGTGTAAAGAAAGAATCCTATTTGCATGTAATAATGGCACACATTGAAAAGGCCACTTTTCTCCTGTCTCTGACATCTAGATCAGGATCTGTGCTGATTCATCTGTTCTTTCTGATGTGTCCATTACCGGATCAAGTACAGTACCTGACCCTAAAGGAACAGGCTCTTCCTGGACCTTTTCTCACAGTATGGACTCAAGATAAAGCTTTTAACTAGGGTTTCCTCCTTTGCATTGGCTAGAAGATGAATCAGTTGCATCTAACCTGTCAGGCTCCTTTCTTAAAATATTTTTTCCTGTCTTGCTCATTAAGTGAGAGGACTGGGATCTTTAAAATAGCAAAATCCTATCATGTCATTTACAAAACAGCATCTGACTTCAGCAAGTAGAAGAAATCCTCAAAGATGGAGGGTTCTTTTTCACATACCACTTAGCCCCCATCTCTGCATTTTTTTTCTTTGTGGGTGCTCACTGATCTGCAGAGTGCCTGGAGATCTGCTCCACAGGCATCAGGTTCAAGAGTCTCAGCCTTGTTCCTGCCTTTTCAATCTTCCCCCCACTGAATTATGAAAGGGGACAATTTTAAGAATTTCAAAGTCAAAGTGCCCATGCTCCATGTTTGCTCTGGGGCACATGTGCTCATCCAGACACAATCTCAGATGTGGCAGTGGCTCCATCGAAAGCCTTACAAAGAGAGGAAAAACAGATCTTGATAAACCGGAGGAGCGGTCTGAAGAAAGTAAGATGCAGTTCAATAAGGATGAGGTCGAAGTGCCACTCTTGGGAACAGTCAGCATCACAAATGCAGAGCGGGGAGTGCCAGGCTAGGCATCCCTTCTCTGGTAAATAATCTGTGCTTTGTGCAAATCAGAAACTGATGGCAAATTAATGCCAGAGAATAATGAAAAGAAGTGCCCATGAAGGACATTTAAACAGGAAGACAGTATTGTAAGATATAAGAAGTAATCCACTCTCCTCTGCACCAGTAAAACCTCAACTGCAGGTTAATCCTGAAGATAATCTGGCAGAAAGTAGCAAGAATGATCAGAGACCTAGGGAACATAGCACCTCAGGAAAAACTGTTGTTGTTTTGCTCTAGGAACCAGAAATCCTCACATAGGTATAATAATGTAGGTAGAAGCCTTCTGCAAGAGGAAGAGACTTCCCTATTTTCTGTGTCCATGGAAAATAAGAAAATAAATAATGGATTTAGACCTTAGCAAGAAAGATTCAAGTCAGTCATTAGGAGAAGCTTTTTTTTGCAGAAGAGACAGTGAAGTACCTGAGGAGACTGTTGTGAGGATATTGTGCATTTACCAGCATTAATGGTTTTACAGAGAGACTAGATCATGTCTGCCAGGCCAAGCACTGGGCAGCAGATGCTGCCTTGGAGAAAGGAAGTGAACAAGGAACCTCACGCTTTCATCATCCTATTTCAATGAGTCTTCATTTTTAGCTCTAGTTATGACAGAGACAAATGCCCCAGCGCTCCAGAACGGGTTGTATTTTGCATTAAAAGACAAAAATGCTTCTTGCAGCAGAGGAAGATGAGGAAGAACCTGAGATGCCTGTCGGCCCTCGGCCTCGCCCGATGTCTGAGCTGCACCTCAAGGAAAAGGCTGTGCCCATGCCCGATGCCAGTGCTTTTTTCATCTTCAGTCCTAACAACAGGTATTTAAGAGACTACTGATCTGGAACAAGGAGACGGAGAGCAGGTACCCCTTTCACGCTGGGCCCCAAAGGTTGTGTGGTGCAGAGCTCCATTCCAGCAGTTCATACGAGAGACCTCCTTTGACCAGTCTCTCCTTTAAAGGCCTGCCATGAAATCCTCATGAAAGCACAACTGTAGGGAGCCCCTTGACAATATTCAATGGGAGTTCATGACACCTGCAAGGCTGACTGACGACACAAATCATGAAAGCTTCAGAAATAAGGGAGTTCATGTGTGTCTGCTCATTCCTACAAGTTAAGAACAAGCGTAGAAGAAAAGGAAAGAGGAGGAAGAGAGTCCAGAGCTCTGAGGGGAGGCTGAGGAGAATAATTCTTCTCTCATGCTCTTCCCTTGGGCTCCAGCAATGTGGCTTCACATTTCCCCACCTGTCTTTCCAACACAGATGCATGAGACAAGTACTGTGAGTGGAGGGATGAGCTATGACACAGAGGAATATATCTTTTCAAGGGTGCAGAAATGAGCTCACTGCCCAGTGGTCTGTGCAGTACCATGGATCCCAACATCTCCCTTGGGGACTTGGCCTCCAAACACAGCCCAAAGTAAGGCAGGGCTGTAAAAGCACAGCTGAATTCACAGCCAGTCTTTCCACAGCAGGGCTTGTGCCACTCCTCCTTGGGTATGTGCAACAGAGAGGGACTGATGATGTTTGGGACTTATGGACTCTAATGTCAACTTTGCCACCTACCCACTGTCACTTGTTGAAGAAGTAAATTAACCTCTGCAATCATCTGTAAAATTGCTATAATAGGGGCTTGGAGGCTTAAAGCCAAAAGTAGAGCTAGACTAATGAAGTGCCTCTAGAATTATGCATTGGACTGTTATGAGGTTTAACTCCTCGTATCCTGATACCAAGGTATGGAAGGTGATGTAATGATCTCCAGTAAGCACGCTGCTGTTTGATGGGAGACCTCTACTTCTTTACTTGCTAGTTTCCCACTAAGATCACCAAGAACTTTATATTGGGCTGATGATTAGCAGACACCCTGCATGGCATGATGTATTCCCAGAAGCCCTTTGCAAATGCCAGCCTGCCCTTTAGTCATTTGGCCAGGTCTGTACCCTGTTAGCAAGGTAGATCCCCTATAGCTCCTGCTCAGTGACACTCCAGCCCTAGCTCAGAAAGACATTGGCCACCCTGAAGCCTATTTCTGCTGCTTTCCCACTAAATGAATGGGGAATGGTTCTGTGAATGAAAGCAAGGGATATAATTTTGAGTTGGCAGGTTTCAGACCACATCTAAATCACAAAGGGCTCTGTCAGGAAGGAGTGACTGTTCTCCATCCAAATGCACTGAGCGTGAGTCCTGCAGGCAGCTGATCACTCCCTGTGCATCACTGCATGACGTGGAGAGCCCAGGCTGCTGGGGCAAAGGGAAGGTGCTCTGCAGAACAATCCTCCAGGGCCAGTCCTGCTGGCAAAAGAGGAGGGGGGAATGTTTCCCAGGTCTTGCTGTTCTCTGACAGATAAAGTTGTGCCTCTCCTCTCTCTTGCAGGTTTCGTGTCCACTGCCATCGAATCGTTAATGATAACATTTTCACCAACCTGATCCTATTTTTCATCTTGCTCAGCAGCATCTCCCTGGCAGCTGAGGACCCCGTCCGACACCTATCCTTTAGGAACCAAGTATGCTTCCCATCCTCCTTCCCTCGCTGTGTATTGGAAGTGTGGTATAAGCAGATCATGAGTTGAAGCTAGGAAAGGCAGAAAAGACTACATCAGAGGCTTTGGGAGTTACTCTCTTCCCTGATATGTGCCTTTTGTAGGGTGTGTGTGAAATCATTGGGTTTTCCAGGAAACATGAGTCAATGCAGAATTTAGCCTCTAGTTCATTTCAGAAGCATGTGTAGGGGAAGGAAGGACAGGAGGCTGAAGCAAAAATATTGTTGCCTGGGATAGAGGCATTAGAAATGGGCTGTAGAAACATTGATTGGGATACAAATAATTCTAATTTGGAGGATTTGCAGGTTCCCTTTGGAACAGTTGCTCTCTCCTACCACATTCTTTCTTTTGAACTAAAAAGCCCAGGGCCTGATTTTCACTTTGTTCACATCGGTGTAAATCAGGAGTAACATTCTTGAGTTTGATGCAGTCACTCTGGGGCAAAATGGTATAATCAAGGTTAGAATCAGAGTATTTGAAGGCAAGCTGCAAAGTTATCATTAAATTTCAGATAATCCTCAGAAAATATGCTGTGTTCCTCACCAGCCTGGGGGACGGAGAGGAAAGCATTCAGCACGGAGATACATTCTCACCTTCTTTCCTGACCATTCTTATTAGCCTTTTGAAACATTCAGTGCTCTCTTAACTTCGCCGGTGGTTGTTTCCATTAATCTGGGGTCATTGCAGAAATCAGAGTCAGCAGTCGTGTGTGGGACTTCTAATCTCTGCTATCCACAGTGACATTTTGATGCCTATATACTGAAAGAGCTTTCTAGGCCTAAAGAGTGGGACAATTTTTTGTTGTTGTTTAATAATAAAACCTTAATTTAATGCTCAGTGTTCTACCTCCCTGAAATATCCAGGCCTGAGCATGCATTTAAATACATATGTGCATGCAGAGAAGGTGTTAATGGAGGTTTATTCCTGAGCTTATCTCAGAACTGCTTTGCATTTTGTCACGAAGGAGGGTGCTAAACAATACAGTCAAACTTGTGCCACTAATGACCCACTTGTGCATGGCTGAGTGTGCCCACCACGTAGGGATAAATGTATGTCAATATGTATTAGCACTGCAGCATGATGTCAGCTGGCATAGCAGGGACATTTAAATGAGACAAAAAGTAGTCAAACCTGGTTGTCCTGGATAAGAGCTGAAAGTTTGGGGCAAAATGTTGTCATGTGTATTTGAAGCCACTGATGTTGCATGAAAATCTGTGCTTAATTTTTGCAGGTACAGATGTTTAAAATGTATCACACAAGTGGATACTGGCAAGATGTTTGGGTTGCAAATGTGGTCTGCCATTACACTTTGACGGTAGAACAGTAAGATAATGTCCTGCCCTGTGCCCACACAGAGGCCTGGGAGGGAAGGAAAGCAAGGAAACAGAAAGCAAACTAACTGCCTCTACCTTCACTCTGGGACAACATAGTCAGGCATTAACTTGTGCACAAGGACCCATGCAGACTAGTGCTGCTGTTGACACAAACTGTCCCAGAGCAGGAAGACAGGAATGGAGAACCCAGCAAGGTCTAGCAGGGAGGCTTGGACGCTGCTTCTGTCCTGGGGCAGGCTTGTGTCACACAGGGCTCAGGCAGCAAGTTTTTGGAAGTGCCTCCCCAGTCTGATCAAACAGCCTTTAAAGACCAAGCAAGTCCTAAGACTTTGTGTGCTCACAGTGTTCTCGTGTTTGCACCTTGGCAAGGTGCTCATTCATTTTAAAATATTCTAGAGTAAATTCATATTTAGAGAATAATCAATATGCCTACTGATAAATGGTACTGCCTGCACAAGGGGAGCAGTGATCATTCTCATTAAGCATGATTTCATCTATAAGGGACATCTTTACTAGCTGCAGCTTTGGGGTCAGATTCACCAGTATGCTCTAGCTGCTTTGCAGTGCTCTGGTGATGTAAAGCAGTTGCAGGTACAGCTTAATTGTCCACTTTAATCAAGTTTATGGCTGCTTTTTGTTGGTGGAGTCATGCAAAGCAGCCTGAGAGTACCCATGAATCTGGCCCAGTGATTATAAAATTGTTCCATTGATATAATAACCAAATGTCAGGACCTACAAGGCAGCAATACAAGGGCACTTTTTCAGTTATAATGTGTGTAAATTAATATAGGATGCAATGGAGATGAAATGTCCATCCTTAAAATGTCCGTTTTTTAATTCTCTAAGTTGCAAAAATTGATAAAGCCCAAGACAGCCTTGGAGACGTGAGAACAACTTGGGGTCAAAAATTGAGCAGTGGCCTGAAGAACTACACAGTAGTAGTAAGTGATACATCCCCCCATTTGACATGTTAGTCCAGATTTGGATCGTGCTTAAATGCTGCAATGTAAAATAACCTTGCAGTTTGCAGTAGCTACCCCAACTGCCCATGGCATACCAAGCTGTAAGAATCTAGCCATCTATAAATCTGAGCTAGGGTATGGGCATTGAGATACAATAAACACTTGTGGGATGGGAGAAGGCAGTTTACTGCTGTATGTTTATTAGTGTTTTAGCAGTAAAGGTTTAAATTTCACAAATGATCAGTTTTATACAGCTTCCATATATTAGCCTTCCAGTTTAGAACTTGGTTATTGTAAAACAATAGTAATCCAAGGGCATGATAAACTTGATTTTCACCATTTGTAGTGTAGATAACACTAAAATGGCTTGGGATATTGGAACACATTGGAAACAAAGAGAATTCAATTCTGGTTCCATTGGTCAATAAGAAAGTTCCCATTTGCTTTTGTGGAATGTCAATTGATTGGCTGTGAAAGACATTTCTGTCCTTGATGCTGTTACTTTGAAAATCACTTTACACTTCCAGACTTGCTCTTGCCTTCTGTGACACTCGAGGGCCACTTTTTGTGGTCTGCCATGGATACCACTGGCATCCCCATCACCACTTCTAAGTTCATGGGAATAATAAGTGTTTCAGCTTGCCTATTATCCAGGATGCCAATAGAAAGATGCAAGATCTAAGTTAGACACCTTTAGCACACGACCAAATTATGGTTGCAATACAAGAGCTGGGATTCTGTTCAATTGGCAAAGTCTTTGTTATTCATTCTAATCCAGGGCAAATCAGGACAGAGAAAAAAATAGCTAGAGCATGAATTTGCAGTTTGCTTTTCTTCCTTTGAGAGAGGCACAGAACATGCCTGAATGGAAGTTAGTAAGAAGAAATCTCATGTTTTCCACTAAGAGACCAGGCACCCTTGTATTCTCAGTTTGGAAGTCTATTTGGGAAAACCCTTGAATTGTCTGTTCTTTATCAGATTTTAAAAATAAATATAAAAAAAAAAGAAAAAAGAAGGCGAATCCTACAACAACAACAAAAATTATTTTACCTCTAGACCCCTCATGGGATTGTAGCTCAGGAAAGATTTCATGTAATGTGCTGCTTGTTCTCTGCACCAGGACCTTCCCGGCATTCAACAGGACATCGTTACAAAACCATTTCCTATAGAGTCCTCCTTGTTCTCTTGTTAAAAGGCATATGTATCTGATTTTGAACTGTGATTTCCCATTCAAGTGATCAGTCACTGATCTACCCTCCCCACTCCTATTCCCTTTTGTTTTTACAGATTCTCTTTTATTTTGATATAGTTTTTACTGTCATTTTCACCATTGAAATTGCTCTGAAGGTAAAGTGCCCATCTTCTCTACCATTACTTGTTCACAAGCTTACTAGTTTTCTGCCACTATCTGTTGCTAACACACACGCCTGTTTGTTCCTGGGTCACGCTCAGTACCACTAACCCGATTGTGCTTATTTTTCAGATCCTAGGCAATGCAGACTATGTCTTCACTAGTATCTTTACATTAGAAATTATTCTTAAGGTAACCAATCTGAGCAATACTCGTTTTCTTTCTTTCTTTCTTTCTTTCTTTCTTTCTTTCTTTCTTTCTTTCTTTCTTTCTTTCTTTCTTTCTTTCCTTTCTTTCTTTCTTTTGTTCTCTCTCTCTTTCTTTCCTTTATTCTTTCTTTTTCTGTATCACTCTCTTTTTAATTTTTTTTTAACCACATTAATATCTCTACACAAATGATTGTTTATCTTTTGATTTTAACATTTTTGTAGTTGCTTAAAAAGTCTTCTGTGAAATTTTGATATTCAAACTTTTAATTCAGGGCCTATATCAAAACAATGCTTTTTAGGGGAATCACAATGAAAGGATGATCCGGTTGGGAAAAGTAAGAGAGGACCAAGAAAAAGACCATCACCCCATAAATTTCTCTCTCTACCCTGGCCAGTCTTTCCAAAACAGGATTTGTTTGCTGTGCAAAGAACCCTGAGCACATACACCTCCTCTTACACATGCTACACCCAAAGAGAAGGTCTCCATTCTGCACAAGTCATGAGGCTGGGCCAGAGGGTGGCCGGTGACTTCTGTAAGGTTACAGAGTGCACGGTCAAGTAGGAGAGAGGGAGCATAGTGCAGAAGCTCACTTTTTAGGTATGGAGAGGTAACTAAGAGTACAAATCACTGAAACACCAAGGACTGTAGCTGCGATGAAAATTGCTGCATTGCCTGTTTTGAACCCAGCTTCCTGTTTCCCAGGAACATGCTCTATACCGAGGAAAATATGCAGGAGAATGGTTTAGCTCAGAAGAAAATAAAAATAGGCTGCCTTGTTCTGAACTCTAATTTTCTCAAATTGGTAGGCTAATAATTTAAATAACAGTAATTGAGCAAAGTTCTGGCTTTCTAAATGCTAGGTTCACTTGGCAGCTTGTTTTTTTTTTTTTCTCAGCAAGCTAGTTCTAAGTGCTGGCAGGCAGTACCTTAGAGTTGCTCCAATCTTGCAACTCAAGACCCTAATAACAGTATCCATACTGAAAACTGGCAAGCAGGGTGGTCCCTGCATATATTTGTAGAGAAACATGCTTTTTGATATGACTTTAAATCACCAAAGCCATAATGTTCTCCAAAGAGTTGTACATACTATGCTTGTGTGCAGTGTGCATGTGTTTACACAATAAATTTGAACACGCACGTACCAAATGGCTGACCAAAAAAGCCTGCCAAAAAAAGAAAACATCTCAACAGCAACATTTAGAAATAAAACCATAGTTCAAGGCACTTGTTTGAACTTACAATTACTAATTCTGCTCCCACTGAAGCTAATGGTAACACTCCTAATTACTTCAGTGGAAGCAGAACCTAACCCAATCCATTGTCATATTGCTCTGTTTTCATCAGGGGAGTGTACTGCATAGTACCTGAGCCTTCCTGATGTCCTCCTGTTAACTTCAGTGAACTTATGTCAACACTCCTGGATATTCTCTGAGTTCAAGTGGGAGAGGAGTGCAAGGACTACAAATGTTTAAGAAATTCTTCTGTTATGGTGTCAGTTATCCTGCCTCACAAGTTGTTTGGTTTCTCAGTGCATGTTTCTCTGCTGCCTTTCATTAAGCACAATGTTTTGCACAACAGCAAAGTTAGTGCAAATGGTAGGAAACAAAAGAACAAATGGCCATAGGATGTTCAAGGCTGTAGAGAAACAAGCTTCATCTGCCCTCATGTTGCTGATGACACCTGCAAGCCTCACACTGCTATGCTGAAGTCTGGTGAAAGTTAGCAAGGTAACTGCCAAGTTTTTTTAATTGGCATCCTAAAAGCTTGTTCATTGCCCCAGATGGGAGGCTGACATAGATTATACACTCTTTGAGAGTCTCTTCTGAGGTAGCAAAATCTCTCAACAGGCTTGAGAAAAGAACAGTTGTATAGAACTTAAACTCAGCAGAGCTTCCCTCCTGATTTCAATGGTGTCTCCTTTCTTTCAAGATTGCCATACAAAATCTAACCAGTAAAGGGCATCTTTACCATCTTTGTTATGGCAAGAACCCCTCCCCCTTTCCCCAATTGAATGTGTCTATAAGTATAAATTCTAAGCCAAGAACAGAGTTTATACTTCTTCCCCTTCTAAGTTCTGCCTGACTAATTGACAGTCAGCTCCCTGATGTCATGGATGTTTGGTGAAAAAAATAATCTGATATACCATGTGCCCTTCCACCTTCCTCTGAATGAAGTTGTCACAGGTAGGCATGGCTGGAAACCACTAGCAGGCATGTCATCCTGAGCTATTAGCGGGAGCCAGAAAACTCCAGTTTGAATTTCTATTTCATACTTTCCAGCTGGGAGTCTGGCTAGAGCTTATCATTGAGGAGCAGTCTCATGGTGTATGCTTCAAATTGCTTTAGATATCTAACTTAGATGAGATTCAGAGGAAAGCCTGTGTTCCTAACCCAGATAATGGAGGGACACTAGCAGTTGCAGGGATGAGTTGCATGGGGTTTCTTCAAAGCAGCTACGTTAGATCGCTTACTGAGTCTAAGGTACGTGGTACAAATACCCCTATTGCCTCACCCTCTTTAACGATGCCAGACTCATTTAGTCACATTCTGTAACTGAGCTCAGTCTAAAATTAAAATTGTGAGCTCAGAAGTGTGTAGGTCTGACATTGAGGCTGAGACCCATTTCTGTTTACACTGTCACTAAATCCAATTCTGGAGCTATGACATCCTCAAAGCCAGCAGGTATTCAATAACCCTTCATACCTAGACAGGGCAGAGTCCCTTGTAAAACACGTAAAATTTTTCCCTTCCTCTGCTGGGTGATGTTCATAATGATTACCTCCACAAAGAAACCATTCTGTCTCAAGGAATCTTACCTTGGGCTTTGTGAGGAAAACCAAGGGATAAATGCAACTGCTTCTGGAATAAAAATGGAGGAAGCTGGATAGGAATAAGAAAAGAGATACAGGTTTGAGCTGAACAGGAGCAGACTGAAGAGAGCAGGAATTCAGCTCTAAAGCATCAAATCCCTGAGGGATTTTGTTTTTTCTTCACAGAGGGAAAAGAGCCTAACTGTCCGCTGCAGCTGGACTAAGCATTGAAAAACATTACAGAAAAACTCTTTTTATTTTATATTTTTTCTTCATTTTAGCTGAAGAGGCCTTTATATAATACAAGCATCATACTCACAAGTGTCCTCTGTCATTGAAGAAAAGGGGAAAAGCATATGATTGCAAAGAGTAGCTTTTGCAAACAGTTATTCTGCTGCTTTGCTGATTCTAAATGTTTTGTACTCTATGCACTCAAACTGCTTATTTTCCTCACTGAACCTAGTATTGGCTTTCCCTAGTTAGGTCTTTCATAGTTATCTTGCTGTCTTCTTCATTCTCTTTTCTTTCAATGGGGACTCAACTTCTCCTTTGGGGTCTGGGGGTAAATTGTCTGCTATGTTAGAAATACTGCCCCTCCCCAATTATATACTCTGAGCACAAGCAGATGGGTTCGGTTACTGAACAGATGCTAATGGCGAAGTGTGTTGTGTCTTCATGTGCCTTCCTGCAGATGACTGCATACGGGGCTTTCCTCCATAAGGGGTCCTTCTGCAGAAACTATTTCAACATCTTAGACCTGCTGGTGGTCAGCGTTTCTCTCATCTCCTTTGGGATCCAGTGAGTGAGCTATTTTCAACTGATTGGTTTTTTGGGATCATAATGCCAGGTTGGGAGGTGATAGCTCAGGCTCATTGTCTTATCTGGGTAAGATTTTTCTTAGGAGCCTGTAGGTATTTTTCTCAGATTATTCAAGGCCATTAAAATTCATCCTCAAGAGAGGAGGTAGTAATTGGGAAATGCTACACCAGTGACCTGGAGGGGGGATCTTCCAGAAAGAGCAAATGAGAACAAGAAACTTTGTCCATTGGGAATCATGACATTTAGCTTTGTTCCAAGATCTCTGATTCACTGTATCATTTCAGGACAGTTAAGTTACTGTTCCCTCCTAGAGCTCTCATAACGTCTTTGGAAAATGGGGTGATAATGTTTTGCTGCTTCCTAAGATGTTGTGGGTCTTGGTCAGTGGAAAACCATCAAGCACTTAAAGAGCTGTGTGAGGATCTGCAGAATACTGGTGGCAGTGACAGTTGATCCTGCTTCTGTTGCGCCATTTCGTGTTGGTTGATCTGTTAATTTGCTTAATAAGTTTATAGATTTACTTGACTATGTGGAACTCTACGTGTTGGGTAGGGAGTTTCCTAAGTGGCATCACATCTGCTAAGACATAAGCTCCCAATTGTTACCATTACAGGTTACCAGCTCATGTATGTTATGTTCCAGAGCTAAGTCAAGCAGAAGGATTTGTCAAGTCCATTGGGCTTTCAGTCAAGGTCTTAAGAATGGCACAGTGCTCATTTTGACCTGCTGTTTCTTTCTTACAGACCTAACTAGGCTCTTGATATGTTAGAAAAAAAAACTGTTCCCAAAATCAGTAGGAAGGCCTGATGTCATACAGCATGGAGAAGATTCTCAGTCAGGGTTTTAGTCGTGGAAGATGCAAAGAGCTCTGTTGTAGTAGATAGTTGTATTCAGTACTTAAAATTAAATATATAAGTCATCCTAATCAATCCAGTGGGAGTTTCCACATCCTTAAATTTATGTACACACTTAATTGATTTGTGGGATCAGAGGCCAAACACATTGAAGGACCAAACACCAGGTAGATGGTATACCTTTAATGCTGGAGTCACATGGAGTTTCCACTCTTCTATGAATATTTCAGTGGAGTGCTTCTTTGAGCCTTGAGTATCTGAAAATGTCTTGTGATGACTACATCTTGGCACAATTTCCATATCACAGATATCTACAGAGTATTTGGTAGCTTGCCCTGATAAAAAAGAAAAATGCCGCCCATGTTCCATTCCTTTCATTAATACAGCAGAGGTGGTGAAAGCCAGAAGAATGTATACTGAGCCTGCCCAGATCAGGAAGCAAGACCTATGTAGACAACATCAGAGAGTAGTTTCCGTACCCCTGAAGTGCCATAGCAAAGAGTTGCCTCTCTAACTATCCAAAGCAATCTAAGGCTACATAGGATTTCAAACAAGAAAGAGTGGCTGAAGTTCATCTGCCCTCACAGCACACCCTCTATGTTGCTGTATCTCTCAAACCTTCCAATACTTTCTTCCAGGTCCAGTGCCATCAATGTGGTGAAGATCCTGCGTGTTCTGCGAGTCCTTAGACCACTGAGGGCCATTAACAGAGCCAAAGGATTAAAGGTTAGAAGAGTCTCAATGCATTCTGTAAACTATAAATTCAACTTCTTTCAGGCTCCAAGAACTTTTGTAATGGTTCAAGTAGTGTTTCAGCAGAATCATAGAATGGTTGAAGTTGGAAGGGACCTCTGGAGGTTGTCTTGTCCAACTACCGTACTCAAGCAGGCCACTGAGAGCAGGTTGCCCAGGACCATGCCCAGATAGCTTTTGAATATCTCCAAGAAGAGAGACACTACAACTTCGCTGGGCAACCTATTCCAATGCTCAGTGACCTTCACAGTAAAAAAGTGTTTCCCAATGTTCAGACAAACCTCCTTGTTTCAGTTTGTGCCCATTGCCTCTTGTCCTGTCAGTGGGCACCACTGAAAATAGCCTGACTATGCCTTCTCTGCACCCTCCCTTCAGGTGTTTATATACATTGACAAGGTTTCCCCGAGCTTTCTCCTCTCTAGGCTGAACAGTCCCAGCTCTCTCCGCCTTACCTCATGGGAGAGATGCTTCAGTCCCTTAATCATCTTTGTGGCCCTTCGCTGGACTCCCTCCAGTACATTCATGGCTTTCTTGTACTGAGGAGCCCAGAACTGGACACAGTACTCTAGGTGTGGCCTCACCAGTGCTCAGTAGAGGGAAAAGATCACCTCCTTTAACCTGCTGAAAGTATTTTGCCTAATGTAGCCCAGGATACCATTCACCACCTTTGCAGCAAGGGCTTATGTTCAACTTGGTGTCCACCAGGACCCCCAGGTCCTTTTCTCCCAAGCTACTTTCCATCTAGGTGGCCCAGCATCACCAGCGAGGTTAAATGATGTAGTCTGCTAGGGTTACAGATGAGCTTACAAGCCTGTTTTAACATAGCTTTGCTATATTAGATAAACTCTTTCCTGTGGGTTGGTGGGGACCCAACTATGTGTTGGTGCCACTGGCAGTTTCAGAGAGCCAAGCTCTGGCATTTTGCTATCCCTTTCTGCCTGCTTCTAAGAGTACGATAAGGAACATAACAAGTTGGTCTTCTTTCCCCCTTCCCGAGACATTAATGGGCAATAGTTAAATGAAATTCATTTATTTGTATTTTCAGTCTTGGGCTTCTCCTTTAGCCAGAGCAGCTCAGAACAATCCTGCAAGTTACTTTTGTTCCTATCTTCCATTTGCAGCATGTGGTCCAGTGTGTGTTTGTTGCCATCCGAACCATCGGAAACATTGTGATTGTCACCACTTTGCTGCAGTTCATGTTTGCCTGCATTGGAGTTCAGTTGTTTAAGGTAAAACCACTGGGCCCTTTCATTCATCCACTTCAGTGAGCTGTATTACAGGGTGGGAAGAAAAATATCATGAAGAAGCCTGAGGAAGTGTGAAAAGGCAAAACCTCTGGGGCACTGTCAGTGTTACCTGGGCTCCTGCTACCAGCAGTTCCCCAAAACTGGACCAGGCATATTCAGAACTCCTGCCCTTCATCTGTAATCATAAGACATCACCAGTAGCATGAGTAACCTTCTTCCCTAAATAGCTTGTGGCATGACTTAGTGCCAGGGAGATGAAGGAGGCTGCTCTAAAGAATTGGTACTGGCAGGCTGTCTACTCCACATCTTGTAGAGGAAGGGGCATGCCAGATAAACACAGGAGGTTATTCATTCACTTCTTTATGTCTGCTGTTATTTCTTTGCCTTTCACCACCCTTCTGACAACAAGTGTTCTGCAGCACTCAGTGGTCATGCACCTCAGGACATAGACATAAAAGTACTGTGCAAGCAGATGAAAGCCTGTGCTCTGAACTACCCAGATGCAGGCAACTCTCGATCCAGTTTGCTCACATCTACCTGCAAAAGAGATGTAAATGTACTCACAGTTGGTTAAGCAAGTAGTAAACACAGTCACCTTGATACATGATCTGCCCTAACCCTTGCATTGTCAGGAAAGGAAACTTCATTCCTCTTTCTTCCTTTTCAAGGGCAAGCTGTACAGCTGCACTGACAGCTCCAAGCAGACGGCAGCAGAATGCAGGTGGGTCTGACCTTTCCCAGTTAGCCCCCTTCACTGGCCACCCACTCTCAGGTCCTCCTACTGGAAGTGCAGTTCTGCCATATTCTCTCTCTGCTTTCCATTCACAGAGGGTACTACATTACATACAAGGATGGTGAGGTCAACCAGCCGATGATACAGCCCCGGAGCTGGGAGAACAGCAAGTTTGACTTTGACAACGTCTTGACTGCCATGATGGCCCTCTTCACTGTCTCAACCTTTGAGGGCTGGCCAGAGTGAGTGCTTCTAGGGCCTGTGCAACACTAGCAATATCCTCATTCATTTCAAAAGAGAAAATTCAAATGCAAAGTATAGTCTTTCCCATTCTAAGTATTTACATAAGTCTAAAGTGTTAAATGTAGCAATAGTAGCAGCAGTCATTGTAGTATTATGTACTTTGTAAATTCCTCAGGGCCTGCAGGAATTGCTGTTCCTGTACTTGTAAACAGTGCATAGCACTGTCTCTAGCTCTTAAAAAATTATTGCCGGTAGTGGTAGTGATAGCAATATTTGTTATAAATATTACATATATAAACGGATATAAAATGCCTGTCAGACACTTACTGGTATTGCTAGGTGTTGCAAGTTTCCCAATGGAGCCAGCAGGGCAATATGAAACACAGCAGTGTTATCGCTGCAGAATGGGCAGACATGGGACCAAGGCGCCAAGGACTCTACAGCTCCACTCTGTCAGTGACATGGGCATGCAGGGTATCAGGGGGCTGACCCTGATCTGTGTCACTGGGTGATGCCAACAGGGCAGTGTTAACAAACATTAAAAGTGCTGAGATCCCCTTTTCTCACAAAACTCGGTTCCCAACAACACAGACTATCCTGTCTTCTGTTAACTGAAGGGCATGCTTTTGTTTTAAATTTCAATTGTTCAGCTGTGAACACATTTCACCCCTGAACAGGTTCAAATGTGTAAAGTTAGTAAGAACAATGTCTTCTCTTTTGCCAGAGTTTACACTCAGAACAGTGCAAGTTTGCAAATCTGTGAGTGAATTAATTTTGATACAAGTAGAAGAAAATCACAAAATTAAACTTTATAACATCACCTATAAGGCCTCAAGGCAGTTGCAGATTTTCTCTGCATTTGGCTCCTGTTTGCTTTCAGGTTGCTGTATAGGTCCATTGATTCCCACATGGAGGATGTGGGACCCATCTATAATCACAGGGTTGAGATCTCCATCTTCTTTATTATCTACATCATCATCATTGCTTTCTTCATGATGAACATCTTCGTTGGTTTCGTCATCGTCACATTTCAGGAACAAGGAGAACAAGAGTACAAGAACTGTGAGCTGGACAAAAATCAGGTAATTTATAATACCTTGATGCCACTAAAGGTAGAAAATACATTGAGAATAAGCATTTAAGAGAGACATACATACAGAAAGTATGGAACATGTGAAGATTGCCAACAAGATAAAACAATAAGCTGGCTTCACTGCTGTCTTTCAGGAGTCGGGTAAAAATATCTTGCTGTAAGATTTGCTCACGGAACATTTACTTAAAAGTGTGTGCTGTGCCATTTGGTTCTCTGAGATTAGATAAGCATGACAGCATTGTCTGGCCAAAGTAAATGCATATGGAACTCTTCAACAGGTAGAATATGCACCATTCAGATCACAACCTAAAAGAAATTCTTCTACCAAGCATTTTCATTTCAGTAAAAAACTAGAAACATTGTTTTTTATTATATTTGGAGGTAGTTGACCAAACCTGTATTTTGGTTTTGATTTTTAAATCTACCCTGCCTCTTTCACAGCGCCAGTGTGTAGAATATGCCCTGAAAGCTCGGCCACTGCGGAGATACATCCCTAAAAACCAGTACCAGTACAAAGTTTGGTATGTGGTCAACTCCACCTATTTTGAATACCTGATGTTTGTTCTGATCCTGCTGAACACCATCTGCCTGGCCATGCAAGTAAGTAAGCAAGCAGAAAACCTTACAGGTGATGAATTATTAGACTTTGTTGGGGAGAATGTAGAAATGGCTGAGGTTGAAACCTACCTTCACCTTCACACCATGTATTGAGGCAGAGGGACAGAGACATGATAAAAAAACCATTGTACCATGTTCACTCCTGATGACATTCAGTTAAAGTGATGAATCTGCCTCTCATCCTCTTCCTGCTAATATCTGACACTTTCAACAATTCTGTTTTAACTCCTTAAAAACAAACAAATGAAAAAAAATACAGCAGTTACATCACAGACCAATACAGTGGCCACTATAATAACAAGTGACTTGTCATTTCTGACTTGTCTTCTATCAAATGCAGCCATAAGCCCGGAACTGCCACTCAGCTGAGATCTGAATTTTAAATTTGAGTCTTTTCTGTGTTAAAAAGTAGAGAGCAAATATTCTGGCAAACAAGGCAATCAAGGAAACTGGGGATAGAGGGTAGAAAGGCCCTCGTATCTCCTTTATTCTGTGTTAAGAACCATAGAAACTGTCTTAGAATGAACCTCAAGAGGCTGTATTGTCTATCACCTAAAAGCAAGATCAGCTCCAACTAAAGCATTTCTTGATAAGTGTTTGCCTAACTTGCTTTACTACTGATGCTACTGATTGCCTTACTACCGACTATGCTGTGCATTCGTTTTCCTCACCGTGTGAAGGTTTTCCAAATGTCTAATGTAAATCCAACAAAGAAACATTTGCAGCTGAATCTACAAGAATAGCAAATAGAGGTCGTAGATTACTGCATGCAGGTGGAACAGCAGTAAAGGGGAGGGAGTCAAAACATTTACTAAGTAGCCAGCTGACAAAAAAGAAGTCTTGCATTCCTTTCAGTCAGGAAGTGGGCCCTCATAGACACAAACTGTTCTGTATGTTTCCCCAAACCTGTACTTTCCTGGCTTGTTCCTTCCAGTCTGTCCCTGCCCAAGGCCCCCCTCACCTCCCGCTCATTTTGAGTCAGTTCCAGACTGTACCTGCTAAGCCTACCTCTCTGCTCCCAGTTTCATTGGCCACTCGAACTCCATTCTCTTCTATCGTCTGCCTGCTTAAGAGCTAGTCTGCCTGTCACTCTCCTCCCTAAACCCCATCCTTCCTCCTCACCCAGTCAGTCTCTGAACTCTTTTCACTTGTCTGCGACCCAGACAGCCCAGATCTCCACTTGTCAACCGGTCCTTCTCTTCTCCTCACTACACAAACTCCCAGCTGCAGTTACCCCTCCATGGACCTCCCTTCCGGTCTCTTTCTGCCCTTACCATTTGACTGTCTGCTACGCTTGGTTCACTTCTCTGGTTTATCCCTTACTGTGAGTCCAGCTCCCCAGGCACTCCTACACCAACTTCCCTTTTGACTTTAGCATCCCACCACTACATTTTCCACTGGATTAATCCCAGTCTGCCCCACTGATCTCAGTCTCCCCTCAAAACTAGCCTCGGTTTCCTATCACTTGCTAACAGTCTAAGTCTATATTCACAGTCATTTTTCACTTTATTTTCTCTCACTGCCTCCAGTCCAATCTCACGAGATTTCTTGACCTCCCTACTTTTTTCTTCATCTGATCTAGCTCTTTCCTGTCCCCATTGAAAAGGCTTCCTCTGGTGTCTTGCCTAAGGTAGCAAAAAAGGAGTGAGACAGCATGAGCACAAGAAAGTGCTCTGCCTCAGCTGAAGTATCTAGTGCCCTGCTGTCATGAAGCAATAGAGAGGGACCATTATGTTCACTCTGAAGCTTTGAAGTATGCTCAGTTGCTGTGACAATGGTGCATACCCAGGGCAGGTAGAGCTAGAAGCTGTGAGATGTTTGTGAGCCCAGAGGCAGGACAGTATCTCTGGAGATTCTAGGAAGTGCATCTTGAGAAAAGTACAGTTATTCAAAGGCTTATACCATGGCCAGATTTGGGTCAAATGTCATAACAGACAGCAAACACAAAAAAGCCACATTCCAGTAAAATTCCAGGTTTTTAAGCAGACTCCTACAGGTACTAGAGTCTTTCAAGGAAAATGTTATAAGAAATTTTGAAAATGTCTCAACAATATATTTTTCCCTGGCCTGGCTTTCAGCTGCAGCTGAATTATTTTAACTGAAACTCCTTTAAATAAATCCCCCTGAGCCAATGCAGAGTATGAAAATTCATCCCAGCTAGTTAAAGTTTATCAAAGTTAAGCAACTACAAATGGGGTCTTATAACATGAACTGGAAGATGACCTTAGAATAAGGCAGTCAATTAGTCTCAAGTACAATGATCTGGAAATAGGGATATGAAGAGTGAGGTGGCAACATTTGCAGAAGACACTATTTGAATTAATCAATAGAAGATGGAGAGTAACTTCGTAAGATCTTAATAAAGTTAAGCGAACGGGCAGCATAATTGCAAATTTAATTCAGAGTTGACAAATGCAAGATAATGCATATTGGAAAGATATGATTTGAGCTGCTCGTGTACTTTGCAGAATCCTGAATTAAGTGTAATTACTTGGGGAATGCCTTGGTATCATTATGAACAGCTCAGTGAAACCTCTGTTCACTGTGCAGTAGCAATCAAACAAAAAAGTAATCCAAGTGTTAGGGAAGGGTGAGATAGCAAACACAATTGGAGACTGTCTTGTACCATTATGGAAATTTATAATGAGCCCTCAACTGGAATAATAAGTGTGATTTTGGTAGCCACCACTCAAAAAGATTATTTTAAAGAGATAGGAGATCCCGAGCTCGATGGCAAAAATGGCTAGAGGTATGGAAATGCTTATATGTGAAGAGAGATAGGAATTCTAAATTGAAAAAAGGGAGCATGCTGGGGTTTTCTTTAGAGAACCTCAACATAAAGGGAGATCAGGAGGGGCCCCGTGGATTCCTAACTAGCTGATACATCCGTTCCTCACGCTGCTGCCGGGATGCTATTTTTCAGCACTACGGTCAGAGCTGCATGTTCAAGGAAGCTATGAATATCCTCAACATGCTCTTCACTGGCCTCTTCACTGTTGAGATGGTCCTGAAATTAATCGCCTTCAAACCCAAGGTAGGTGCTATAGGCGTAGAGTTTCCTGGCCTTTGTGTGTGTGTGCATGTGTGCGGGGCAGCTGTGAGGAGAAGGAGGAGGTGAAACTTTCTGATCTGTTACCCCACCGATAACTGAGCTGGACAGTTGCTCTCTGGATTGGAGTCTCACATATGTTTATTAACTTTTTCATTGGAGAGTAGACACACTTTAAAAAAAAAAAAAAAAAGGGGTTCAGACACCTGCTAATAGAGAAGGTTCCTAGTTCTCTATTTTCATTAAGTTATAATAGTGACACTATGTTAAGGCTATAACATGTTTTCCATTCTGAATGTTATTCTGATGATCTCTCTGACTTCTCTTAAGGCAATTATAAATAGCATTCCATGATTAGTCTCCTGGCCCAAGTGAAGTTAATCAAGTATGACTCATTGTGAGTTGCGAGCTTTGGAAAAAAATGTTTCTTCTGGGAGGGCTACATCTCAATGATGGTTTGGATTGCTTCAGTTTTAAATTTAAGACTTCATTGATAATATTCAGTACCCCAGCAAGTCCTGTCTGAAAGTATTGTCTCCTCAACTTGGCCATGGCATTCTGCTAGTATAGCTGCACCATGGGGTACGATTATAACCTACAAGCTCTTCCAACCAGTTGGCACAGCTGCTGCAGGACAAGAACAAAGATTCTGACCTCACATAATTTAAGATTACACAAGGCTTTCTTCTTTAGGGTTTAAATTTGTGGTATGTCATAAGGAGTGGAAGCCAGATATGTAAATACAGGTACCTCATGCCTTTTCCTATCTTCAGTGATACCTTGACACATGGGTTTGTATCTTGAAGGATTGGCAAATACTGTCTGAAGCATCAGTTATCACATTGATAAAGATGAGAACAATCGTGTCTGACAGTCATGCTTGTCCTTCATGTTAAACATTTAGGGGATCCCTCAAGTTAAGAGCTCCTCCCAGCTCTAACCTAACATCTTCCCAATCCTCAGCTCAGAAACTTTCCTCTCCAATTCTACTGAATTCAGTCTTACTTTTTCTTGTAAACTCTGTGTTGACTTTACTCCCATCCAACCTCTCTCCCCTTCTTCCACACTTTCTAGGACTTCTTCTTAGAAGAGTCACAATTTTATTTTTTTTTCCTGAGCCCAATATCAGTATCCTGTCTCAGATGTAGTTCTCTTGAAAGTTAGGAGCATCTTGTGCAGTCCTGATGAAGGACAGGGTGGGGAGTGAGATCTCAAACACTGTCTTGGGAAATTTAGAAGTATCATCCTCTGTTTCAGAAGTGATTGTAATTTTCAGGAAGGATCTACCTTTCACTTTTGAGGTTTCACCATGTCTATTAGGAAGCAAATCTTCTGGCACTTTGTAAAAATATTATCTGCACACTGTATACCCAGAAATGTATCTCACAGGCTTTGTAATGTTCTTCTGATTTCATGGTTCTACTTTACAAGAGATTCTTAACTTTGGGAAAGATGAGGTTCTCACTAGAATTTGTTTTGAGCGTTAGGGAAAAAGTTCAACCAGTTCAAATATTGACGTCTGTACATATACAAGGAAGGCTTTACCTGACATGGTTGCCTCTAACAGTAAGGAATTGGCATTGATGATATTGGAGGTTCTTTCACTTCCTGTGTCTTACTTTCCTGTGTTCAGCCTCGTTTCCAAGTTTTACTGTACAACAGAATATTAAACAAAATCAACTGAGGGTAAACATGTATCCTCCGGATAGCAAAACATTGGAACAGATTACCTAAAGAGATTGTGGAATCTCCATAATTTGAGGTTTTAAGATTAAGTTAGGGGCACCTTTCATTAGAAACCATTTAGGGGAAGGAACTGAGGGATCTGCCTTGGGACAGGGGAATGGACTAGATCATCTCACAAGGTCCCTCTCAGCCCAATTTTTCATTATTCTGTAATTTCCAGACTGAATCCCCAGTTACTACACTGTAATAAAAGTGAGAATGTAAAAGCAGTTTTCCTTGTGACCAGAATAGCAGAGTCTTAATAAAGTCTTAATAAAGGAGGAGACAGCAGCCTCAGGCTGGGTCCTGCCCATCCTGAAAGAATAGCCAGTGAAAAGAATAAACCTGTTTCAAACCTTAGTCTGACCTGTATGCCAAAAATAGTACTAACTCTTAAACTGCTATTTTAATTAAATACCTTCAGGAAAATAAACAAAATATTTAAAAATGAAATTACAAGATTTACAGGGAAGAAAAACAGGAATGAACTTGTGAAAACAACTAATACAGCAAAAATACTTGCTTCCAGCAGTATATTCACACTGGATTATGTCGAGTACCAGTTCAGTCACTCAAGTTTGGAAACATGAAAATTCTGTGTATAACTTGCCATTGTCTGTTCAGTACAAGGATTTGGCCTGCAGTCTTCATTCCCTTCTCCATATTGACTCAACCTGCACTTACAGAAAGTTGACTCAACTCAACATTTCCAGAAAGTATGTGAAGGGGGTAAAAAGACAAGGACTTTCCTAACTAAACATACTATTACTGTTGAGATTGGTTGCTTTACTCAGCAAGTCCCTTTGATACCTGCACATTTCATGGGCCATCGTATGTGAACAGTGCTTTGGTTTGTTTAGTCTCCAGGAGGCTATAGAGAAGAGGGGTGCGTTAGCTGGAGCAGCTGCTGCTGGTCTAGATAGTGCATGCCAGGCAGGGACAAAGCCAGCCTCTGAGAGCCCTTGTGTTTCTGTGTGGCACATTTTCTGGAGGAGAGGATCAGTTATCCCAGGTTTCTTGCAGGATAAATCTGAGCACTGCATAAGACAGCTCATCCATGTCTGATGCAGTCTTGACAGGAGGGTGTGCTAACAGTGAGCAAGAGAGATTTGGGATGATTAGAGCTGCTGATAAAGAAAACATCCACTACATGCCCTGCATCTCCTTACAGAGTATTAATGTGCTGCTCTGAAGCAAAACTCCCAAATGGACCTAAGTGTTTGTCTTGGCTGATGCTCATAAACTGATTCAAGACTAGTTAGTTCAGAGACAGACAGTCTAAAAGTAATGCTTTTGAGCCAAGGCCTTTTACTGCTTTGCTTTTCTAATTTTATAAATTCTCTGGCCAGTCTGGTGAGCTATTTTACAGTTCCTGCATGGAGCAAGCTGTTGCTGCTTCGTTCTTTTACTGGAGAAAACTACTAAAGGGAATGAGAGGTGCTGTGCTGTCTGGGGTGCTCACAACTACCACTGTCCTAGCTTCTTAAAGAAGAAATTCCCACAGGTGCCAGTTCATGAAGGACCAGCTGCCCCACAAAACCTACCTGGGGTTTATCTTTTCAAGTCAAAGACAGCAACTTAAAATTCCTGTTCATATGAAGCTGCACCATCTGTCAACATACATGCTAATATGGGGATGGATACTCCTCCAGGAATTTCAGATCTTTCCAGCTCCCTGGAATGGGCTGTTTCACTGATGACCACATCTACTTTTTCTTTCAGGAAACATTTCACCTATCCCCTTATTAGCTAGGGAAGGACTAGTAATCTGAGAGCTATGAATTTTCTACCACTGTCCCTGTCATCTCAAACTAGGGAAGATATATCAGTGGAACTACTCCCATGCATAAAGTAAAGCACACGTTCATATGTTTTGTCAAATCCAGGTCTGTATGTGGAAAGGGAATCTTGAGGATTTCCTCTGTGAAATTATGACTATCAAAGAGACTACAGATCACAAGTCTATTCCATTTACCAGACACTGTCAGCACCTTTCTTCCCTGAGTGTTTATGGATGTTACTTGTAAAGCAGCCTGTAACAATGCCATCTGTCCTGCCCCAGATAGTTAGTTCAGTCCCTCATTTATCACTGCTAATTTAGTCTGAATTCTTGTCATTCTTTAATGTCATTTTCAAGTAGCAGAGTTCAGACTTCTATGCACTGTTTCAAGCAAGTCTCACATTTAGCACAAGGCATATAATCCCATGTGATCCCAGGAAGAGCTATGAGTAGTGGGAGTCATGAGTGTCCCCCATGGTTATTTCTTAGTCTCCGTTTACTGATGGATCTATGTGTCCTCAGTGTTTCTTCCTCCATTGATGCATTTGTCCTTCTTTATTTCTCTTTAAGCTCCTCTCAGTCAGCATTTATCATGCATTTGATGCACAGATATCTCTTTTCAAACCTGCAAAATTACTCATCTGTTTTTGTTCCTTTTTTACTACTCCATTTCTCGTACATTTGTACCTATAAACAGATCTTTAAGCAGTCTCTCCTAAAGTCACACTGGCTGCTTCATACTACTTGCATTCTTCTTTCTCACCATAACCATAATCTGTCATTCCTTGCTCAGGATACAGGCTTCGGCATTTTCACAAACAACTGAAATTTATATCCGATCTATCCCCTTGCCCCACAGAAACAACGTTGGTTAGTTTTGGAAATCTAATGCTTTTTGTACTTCTTCATTCTGGTACCTTTAGAAATACCTGTATAGCTTAGGATGCTGTCCTGGCATCATTCATCACAGTATTTTATTTCTCCAACTTACATGGAGAAAGCAAAGACGAGATACTCTGCACTGATACAAAAATGTCAGAAAAACTGATTACAATAGAGTGGTCTTTTGCTTAGCATGGAAAAACACTTCAGGTCCATCCAACTGATGTAGGAATCATATTTAGTTAAAAATCACATGGTCTGGGATGAAGTATGGTAGTATAAATTAGTAGTTTAAGTTGTGTAAATGTACACATGAGCCCATGGTGCAGGCAGCTGCCTCTCTGTCACGGAGTTTGACGACACAATTCTGGTTGTCAAATTGCTCTTACTTTGCAGTTTTTCTCTGCTGGTTTTGGCAGGTTCTTAATCTAAGTAGTCATCTAATTGTTTCCTCTCCTCAGCTTCAGTATTACGCTTTCTGTTTTGGAGGGGCAGCATCTAGACATGAGATATTTGCTGACCAAGTTATCTACCCAGTGCAATAGGAAAGGCAGTCTCCAACCACCACCCTGCCTTTGGTTGGAACAAGTGTTTTATA